ATTTTCTGGCACCCAATTTTTATTGCTGATTTTGCAAAAGGCATAATCGAGGAGGTGTCCACTATTATCTGCACTCAATGAACAGTATTTTGTGACTGTGGCGCAACCCTTAGAAGAAATCTTATCAACAAAAGGGATATCAACAAGTAAATACAAAAAGGTTGATCAATAAATGTATATATTTACATTATCAAATCTCCCGGGTTGGCATATTAGAGAACCTTTTTTTCCAACTCCATGTTTTGTGGTAAGAATAAAAACCTCTTCAGGCTTTGATTTTTTCTGATCTAACTTTGATTTTTTCTGATCTTCAGGTTTTGATTTTTTCGGATCTTTAGGTTTTGATTTTTTCGGATCTTCAGGTTTTGATTTTTTCTGATCTTCAGGTTTTGATTTTTTCTGGTTTTCAGGTTTTGATTTTTTCTGATCTTCAAGTTTTGATTTTTTTTGAACCAATAGGCCTAGTGTACATGCATTTGGTGGATTTTTTAAACGCCCAATACTAATACCAGGCATAAGTTTTTCATGGTAAGATCGGTAAAATGGTATGACTGTTCCATAGTCGATAATTACAGGAAAACCCTCAAATACAGATGGTAAAGAAAAATGCAATGATGACCCTTCTGGTAGATTTAAAGTAACAACAATAACTTCTCTTTCATCAACCAGCCCAAAACTTATTGCTGATATTTCATCTCTTCTAAATTCCTCCGAAAAGCTCTCTTAGCAGAAATAAGTTTTTGAAAATTTACTTCATTTTGGATTGGGAGAACTTGTCGATTGCCAAGTCGTTCCATTTTATCTGTAAATTACTTTTTTTTTTTAAAAAAAAAAAAAAAGAAGAAAAGATAATTTTCTGAACTTCAATTTTGATTTTAACTATATTTGTGAAGAAGAGAATGTTTATATACCTTCTAAACCTTTATTGAGCTTTCGTTGTCTTAGTACCCGTTTATGAAAATCAATCCAAGATAATCGTTCATCCGATACATGCAAGTGAAACTAGAAATAAATTAATTCATCAGAAGAATATGTTACAGTACTAAACTGAGTGCAGATAATAGTGGACACCTCCTCGATTATGCCTTTTGCAAAATCAGCAATAAAAATTGGGTGCCAGAAAAT